TACAACAATTAAGATCCATTTATTTCATCGTTGGAGACGCAGAGAAACTAGGTTATGCTGTTAAAAATGCCTATCTATTCCCCCCAGGATTTTGCCCCTTGTACTGTTGTACAGGATAAATTGTTACAAGGCTGAAATGACGCCATGTATTGGCAGTTTTTTTTTTTTTCTTCAGCTGCCAATGAGAATCAACCAAATGTGTATATGTAAAACCCTTGGTAAAAAACCCATGTATTCCAAGCAGGGTTTTTCTCCCAATGCAACCCATCCTTTTAAGGGCATGAAAGTTAGAGCTCATTTGACCCCATTATTCCTATAATTAGAGGAATAATATTTTTTTTTTTAGAGTGTGCGGATTAAAAGAAAAGAATTTTTTTAAATTTATGTGTAATATTATTTTATTGAAGGACGTGTCTATAATAAGAAATGAAAAAAATAAATTATAATTTAATGGAGAATAACAAAAGCCAAACGAGAGCTTAATATTCAAAAGGTACATAGTTATGCTTTTCAAAAGTGTTCAAGTCAAATTGATTCCTCAATCAAACACACGATTCTCCATTAATTTGTCAATAATTTGTAAAGTTTGTTTACCAATCTTGCTACAGTTACGACTCAATGATAGAGGGGATATGTATCAATACATAATTGGACAATTTGAAAGAAAAATACAACACTCATTCACAGTCTGCCACACCACCTTGTCACCCTGATCCCTGTCATTGCTCTTGTCCAAGAAGTATTATTCTTTGTTTACATTAGAGATGCCAATTTTGCTCATCGATTAGGGTGGTTAGTGGCTCGATCTGGAAAAATTCCAAGTCAGTCTACTCATGGCTTAAAGAACCCGAGCCTCAATTTTGGGTATCGGCTCGAGCTCGAATAGGCCAGTGATAAGCCACACCAATTTCCGTAGCTGCCTTTAAAAAAATCCAAGTCGATTTGTTAAATTTTAATTTATTACAAATTTAATGGAATTCATAACTCTTATGAACTTTTTAATTAACATTTCATCAATCTTTATCAAAACTTGCTAAAAAAATTATCAAAATCTTAATAACACCGCCTTTTATTAGTTATAATTACTTTTCATAATATCTTTGAAAAAAAAAGGAAAACATTTGTCCTTTTTAAGGAATATAATTTATAGAGCAAAAGGAGATTTGATATGGAGATTAGTTCACCAAATCATATATGTTTAGTAATACCTAATTTAGGAATACTTGACCAAATCATTATATGTTTAGGATTTAGGAACAAGTTTATATTACACAATATAAAGTAGAAATTACAACTCTAAAAAAAAACACAAGAAAATTGACATAGAAAGGAAAATTTAGTGTAATATGGAAAAAGAATACTATAATATTGTGTTTACAATATTGTCTAATCTATCAAACTTGTAATGAAGAGTCAATTATATATATTATACATTGTCAAACATTAATTATAGTGTTAAAGAAGGAAAGAATAGAGGAGGCAATCAAGTCGAGCGGCTTGTCAGCAACGATACAGCAATAACAGCGATATTGTAGCAAAGCGATTATTCAATTATTCAATCATCGTCAATGTAGACCCAAAACCGAACAACAACGATACTGTAGCAAACTGACTATCACCAATGAACTTAATTTATGTTGATTGGTCTCCAATAATTCTATAGAACCCTGCAAGACATGTAACTGGGACCTTCTTTGTCACTACAATACAATATGGGCACCTTTACTAACGTTCACGACTCCACCTTCACCGTTGTACTTGTACCCTTTTAAATTAAGAATACTCAAAGAGATAAGATTTCTCTTCAAATATGAAACATATCTTACTTCATCAAGTATCCTAACTATCCCATCAAACATCTTAATTTTGACCCTTCCAATACCAACTATCTTACAAGATTCATTGTTACCCACTACAACAACACCTTTTGAAATTGTTTCATTTAAATTTAGACCCTTCCAATACCAACTATCTTACAAGATTCATTGTTACCCTCTACTACAACACCTTTTGAAATTGTTTCATATGTTGGAAACAAATCTCGATTGGGACATATATGAAAAGTGCATGTTGTATCAAAAATTCAATCATCGTCAAGCTTGGAGTCGTTAGAAATAACAAAAAGTTCACCATCACTGTAGCAATATTTTGTAATGTCGACTTCTCCTAAAGTTTCTGGTTGCTTTCATTTCCGATTTGTAGTCGATTTTTCTCTATTCTTTCTTCATGTGCCACTTCTTCTTATACTTGTTACAAATTTTATTACTGAAGTTAAATTTCGAACTGCCCTTATCATAATCACCATGAACAACAAAGCCTTCTCCTTGAGCCTCAAATCCAACAAGATGCTTTATCTTCTCCTTCAAAAACAAAGCATCATATACTTCTTCAATCGTGAGAGTATCATGACTATATAATATAATGTTTCTAAATGACATATATGAAGGAGACAACGAACACAACAAAATCAACCTCAAATCTTATTCATCATATTTAACCTTCAAGGTTTCTGAATTAGCGACATTTTTTTTAAAAAAACATCTAGGTGATCTATGATGAGAATACGAGCGTTGCTTCAAATGCAATTCGATAGTTAAGACTTCTGATTATGTATAATTGCTACAACTTCAACCATAATGCAGCTGCAGTTTTCTCTCTCAAAACGCCATGAAGATTATGAATCAAAAGATGAAGATAAATATGTGTTAGGGTCTTTCATTCCTTACGTTATTTCTACTCTATCGACCAATTTGAGGACATCTTGTCAAATTCCAACAAAGCGTTGTCCAAGTCCATCTAAGCAAGCACTACTCGAACTTCACCTGGCACCACGAGAATCTAATGCTGCAATCCAAAATCGTAACATCATACTACATGGTTGCCATCACAAGAATAAAATCTCTAACAAATCAAACATTAAGCTCTGATACCACTTGTTAGGAAATAGAGATGAGAGTATAAGGCACAATAAGAAATAGCGATTACAACACTAGAAGAATACAAGAAATTTGGCACAGTAAATGGGAATTCACTATAACAGAGAGAAAGAATACAATAATATTTTCTAACTTATCAAACTTGTAATGAAGAGTAAACTATATAAGATACATTGTCAAACCCTAATTGTAGTGTTAAATATGGAAAGAATATTAAAAAACGCGTGGAATAAATAAAACAATCTTCAACCTAAACACAACGATGCGAGCCAGTCGGCACTGAGCGTATGACAGCGGCGGGTCGGCAGTGAGCGAGCGTTAGGCCCCTACTTTAAGCGCTCAAGTGGGAGATTAGAGTGCAGTGAGCGAAAAAAATGTCAAAATCATTCATTAGTCCATATTTTGATCTTTTCAAGGCCCACCTCAATTAATCCACCAAAATCCAATCGAGTTTGGGTCAAACTTCCACAATATATATTATGTGGTACTTTTAGCCCCTGTTTGAGCCCTAATTTTTCAAAATTTATTTTCAACGACACATTCTCCTATAAAATAATATGTAAATCAAAAATATTTCTTTACTTTTTAATCACATATTCTCCAAAAATTCATTATTTCAAAATACATTTCACCTAAAAATGGAGATGGCTTAATTTAGAAATATTTGACCAAATCTTTGATGTTTTATAATACCTAATTTAGAGTCAAAGATGCCAGTGCAAATATTTATTGTCGATCTTGTTACACAAATGAACCTAAACCCTACAGCCTATCTTCGAGGTCAATCGTAGCCTTCAAAATAACAAATGGAACTAGACTCCAACCTATTTCTCTAGTAAAAAGTTAGTCCTCGACGAGAAATGAATATTTTCAAAATATATGATCAATCATCGTGTATGAAGTTAGGTTTTACTTCACAATCTCATCATTCTAGAAATTTAAAGTCACATTATCATGGAGGAGAGCATGTGATAATTTAACGAACATTTAAACAATCTCTTTTATACCTTTCACTCATACAGGCAGACTTATACAATAATAGAAAAACTGGAAATCGACCCTTTTCTTGCTGACAAGGTAATAGGCTGACGATCGATGGATGTAGTCCNATATATATATATATATATACACTACAAATTTAAAACTGTAAAGTTTAACATGTCGAAAAGGCTCCATTGCCAAAAATTTTAAAATAACGTGCAATTAAATATAATCGATTCTTAAATTAAAATTTGCCAAAATCTGAACATTTTACTTGATGATCCCATAATCATCACTCGGTCAATTTTCCACTCATCCACACGACCCCTTCTAATTTGAAAACCAACAACCACCAACATTTATATTTGTATTCACCGATCGGATAATTGTGTTTAATCACTTAGGGTATAGGACATAATTGTGAATACAATGATAAGATATGGAATTCAAATATGTTCCATAAATACTTAAGAAATCGAAAATACTTGAATTAATGTTGAATTCTATCTAAATGGATTAGAACTTATTTCAATAATTCTTTTAGTCGGTGCAATTGCTATCACCTGTAATCCCCAACAATTCTTGTTTATCAATATACTGAATACAAAAATCTTCAAATTTTGCGTTCGATCTTTGCTTGGTTCCTGATTTTATGAACTAGGTTTTCCGTCGCAAAAAATTAAAAAAAAAACACTTTGTTCATTGATTAGACAAAAGATTTCAAACCAAACTTTGTTCTTACCAAACGAGGTAATTTTCCCTAAACAAAAACCTTGAAATTCTTCTAACAAACTTAAAAGGGTTAATCAATATTATTTGAAACCTATTTCTCACTATTCTCTTGAAGAAAAGAAAACAATTAATAGAGAGCAAGAGTTACTAGAAATCATTAACATATAATTGTAAACACTAGCTAGGGATGGATTCCATGGAAAAAGGTGTTCAAAATTTGGAGCCAACATTTGTCTCCTATCCTTTCTTACATAGGAAAACACGAACAATTCTAGGAAATATCAAATATAATAAACTACACCTAGATACGTAATAGAAAACTTACTTAAAAAGGCCAAAATATAAAACACACTAAAATAGAACCTTCCTTGACTCGGTAACAGCAAACAGTGGATACTTCATTTCACTAGACAGCTTCAAAACTTCACTAAGATCAACCATATTAGCCTTATCCTCCGCCCAGTCGAAGTGGCGCACCAGCTTCGCCACCCAAAGAGCCACAGTCACAAGTCCCAAATTCTTGCCCGGGCAGACCCTGCGGCCGGCCCCGAAAGGTGCCAATCTTAAATCACAACCTCTCACGTCAAAATCCTTCCCACCATGGGCTGTCAGAAACCTTTCAGGACGAAACTCCAATGGATCTTCCCATACATCCGCGTCGTGGGTAATTGACCACATGTTGACCATAGCCGTCGTGTTAGCCGGAACCACCATTCCATTGCTGAGTTCGACATCCGCCGTGGAAAGCCTGGCCCACGAGAGGAGCGGCCCCGGAGGATGAACCCTTAAAGTCTCCTTGATCACTGCTTGCAAGTAGGGAAGCTTCGCCGTGTCAGCGTCTGTAATGTTTCGGCTCCCGACCGTACCATCGATTTCTTCCTGCAGCTTCCTTTGAATCTCCGGGTGCAACACCAGCTCCGCCATAACCCATTCAGTTAGCAAGGCAGTTGTATCAGTTCCTCTGAATATCATTTCCTGCAAATTTACAGCGTAATTTCAAAATTTCTACTGGTTTTGTGTGATATAAGCACGCATTTAAAGTGTATATGCAGATAAAAGTAAAAACTTGTTAGGTACAACATGCATAAGAAATGAAACTGGAACATACCCACAAAACAGCAATCATATCATCTTCATTCAGCTTCTCTTCACCCTCCAAATGGAGCAAAACATCAACAAAATCATCAGGATCAGCAATATTTTCACTTTGATTTTTCAGTTTATGTTCCTCAATTATTCCCTTCACCAGATTTCGAACCCGTGGGACGAGTTCTTCACACCGAGAAACAATCCTAAACGGGTCGTAGAAGTACGAAATCCATGGCAAATAATCTGAAAAATTGAATGCACCTAAAAGCTCAAACCCTTCTCTAATCATGCCCTTCAGTTCCTTGAGCTCCTCGCTAGACCCAGCCTGGTCGTAACGTTTACCAAAAACGCTCCCCATTATGTTATTTAATGCTGCAGCTTGTAAATGCTTCTTTAAAGAGACTCTCCCGTTGAGTGCCTGTTCATATTCTATGTCCCTCAACATGGCGGAGCAGTCCATTTGACGGCCAGCTTCGTGCGCCGCAATGAGGCGGGGAGCGAAGAGGTGGGAGGCAGCAATGCGGCGGAGGAGCCTCCAGTAGGTTCCATTAGGAGCAAACCCAATTGCTCGGCTAAACATCAGGCTCTTAGCCGACTGCTTAATAGGCCGATCAGCAAAGTGAGGAGAGGTTAAAATCTCTTTTGCAGTAAGAGGATCTGAAGCCACTACAACAGGGGTGGCGCCGAGGCTGAACGCCATGAGCTGCTTAGCTTTGCAAGCTACAGCCATGGCGGCTAAAGAGCGATGGGCCAAGCCCCGGCTGAGATTAAACAGGTTTCCGAATACTGGTAAACCTCTCGGCCCGGGGATTTGAACAGCCCCATGTCGATTTCTGCCATTTTTCCATGCTGTGCCGCCGGGAGAAACAACCCATGTAAAAACAGCAAGAAATAAAGCAGCCAGTAATATTGCAAGAAGTATATACTCATCCAGAATATTTTCAGAGCCAAGAAATGCAGGCAAAGTGAAAACCCACCAGCTAGAATCCTTATACGCCATACCCAAATCCATTTTTTTGCAGTTGAAAGACACAGAAACACAGAGAAGTTGAAAGAGTGTGAGTGTGTAAGGGTTAAAAGCGACGAGAGTATATTAATAGAAGGCAGGTGAAAGGGTGAGTAAGGCGGTGTAACAGTTACTTATAAATATGATTTTATTTTATGGGGAATTTGTAAAGTTTTACATTTTGTTTTATAAAATTGGAAAATGGCAATTTTTTTCATTTGTAATTTTGGGGGGCTTTTTTAATGGGTCAAAATGCTAATGATTATTATTTTGTTTCCATTTTATTCATAGTGAAAACGTTTTCAATTCGACCATTTATTGAATTTGAGCTATATAACCGACAATTCAATTATTTTGTTGAGTTGTATTTGGTCAAGTATTATCTCTATTAGATTTGTTATCAATCCACGATTAATATGAGTTCGTTGTTTTCTTGTTTCAAAAGTGAATTTGAAAGTGGTTAGGAGACATAAAAATTCAGTCTCGACATATTATGTATGACTAAGGAGAGAGTAATATAGGGTGTATTTGATGAATATTATTGAAAAAAAGAATGTATTTTAAATAGTGATACAATGAGAAATATGTGGTTAAAAAGTAAGGAAAAGTTATTGATGTGATGAAAAATATTATTTTATTGAATAACGTGGGTTGAAAACGAGTTTTAAAAGAATATATTTTAAAAGAATGTGTACCAAATAGGGGTATAGTTTCTTTAGCTTTTTATGTACTTTTTGCCTTTAGATTAAAATTTTATATTTTAGCATCTTTAGTTGGAGTTAAGGTCTAGATCCTTCCTAAGCCTATAACGTATTTTTCTTGTACTCCCTCGATCTCATTTAGCTAGGCTCACTTTCCTTCTTTTCTTATCCCAATTGTATAGTTTTGTTTCTTTATTAAGAATATTTTATTTTATTTTGTTCATTTACTAATATACTCTTATTTTTTTACTACTTCCAATAATAATTTACTACTAATTATTAATAATTAAATAAGAGTAAACTAGGAAAGTATTTGACAAAAAATGATTTTCCAATAATATTAAATAAGATTTCTTAATCCGTGTGAAAAACAAAACAAGTTTGTAAATGGTGCGGAGGAAGTATGACGCTGGGAAGAATATAGATTATTCTGCAAGCAGATGGTAACTTGTAACGAATAGAGAAGTGCACGAGAGAAAAACAAGAGAAAACATCCAAGAAAAAAGAAATCTTTATTATTCTATCAATTAATCCGAAATTAACCCACAAGTCGGGTTATATAGCTAAAGAAATCAAAATTATCGAAATTTTACCAAAAATAGTAGAATCTCAATATTCATACCAAAGATAATACGTAATAAAAGAAATAAAATTCCAAAAATTTAGTTCAATCTGGGTTCATAATCTATCTTAAAAAGGCAAACGAAATATTACTAAAAAGACAAAAATAACTTAAAATTGGAATTTGAAAGGAAAACAGTGGGTTTTGCCCTCGAAAACGATTCGCAACGAGCATAGCTTTCCAAATTGGGATCGAAAACGATTTTGCCCTGGAAAACAATTCACGATGTGCGCGCCGAAAAGAGTTTTCTGAATTGGGGTCATGAGCACGATTCCAATAACTATAGCCAAAGTTATGACCAAATTATCAAAATTTGTCCAAATGTTGTCCAATTAGGAAAATATTATGTTCACTTGCCATATTTTCGTTGATCTGCCAACTCATAATATCTTAGCGCAATCAATGTGCAATCTGACAGCTCAACGTCATCTGAGTCGAATGCTCCTGCATCAGAGTATTATTAATAAAACATGTGACTTATTCTAAGTTAAAAAATATATAAGCTTGATAAAGATAAAATCATTGATTCAAGCTAAGTTAGCAAGTTTTGATGACAAAGACGATTGGATAAATTGGTGCGTAAATTATATTATGTTAACCAAAAATACGTGCTTACAAATATAGATAGAGTTACGACTTATCAAAACTATGTATGTGTATAATAATAAGCAAATTACGACTTGCTCAAACGCAAAAAATAGGATGAGATTAAAAGAAGCGATGTATGCCTATATAAATTTTCTAGATTTCTCTCCTGCACGGGTGCTAACAGGATAAAATTGGCATCCATCTTCCAAGATACAACGCTTCTCCAAAATTAACACAGTACAATATTAATTTTGTCGAGCGAACCAACACTTGACTGTACTATTTTAGAACGAAAGATATCGAACCCAAGACTCAAAAATAATTTGAAAATTATTTTAACATAATTTGAAGACGAAAATAATTAAAAATCAATTATATGAAATTGATTTGAAGTGAAAAAATGAAATTATGATGATTTTATTTATAAATTTTCATGTGTCTCTTCCTAACGTTCGCATATATTAGCAAAACTAATTTTAACCATTAGATCGCCTCATTTTCGTATTTAATGGTGTAGACTACACCTTATCAAAAGGTTACACCAATTTTGAAACAACACAACTCTTTGATATGCATCATTTACAATTGAGAGTCACGACTAATCTTCGTACTAATTAGAGACTTTGCCAATTCACACTTATAAATATGTCAAAAATCTCAACAATCTCCTATATGAATGGAAGAAGTCAAGGTAGAACTAAAAAAATGAAGAACAGTTCAACTGAATATAATGCGTTAGGATCGGTGTCTTTCGCTTTGAACCTTCCTTAGTAAGAATCTATCAGATTTACTTGGCTAATCAATTAACACAAAATTTTGAATTTTTAGCTGTTATTGTAAGGCTAGACAATAGATCAAACACATTATATTTCATATCAAATTTTAATTCTCTATTGTATTTATTATTTCGGCCCTGAACCATCTTGGTTTTGTAAGTGCACTAGATAATTCACCTAAGTAAAATTCTCATAGAACTAGTCAAATTCGCACTCACATAGGTGATGTTCTATAAAAAGTACCCAACAATACTTCACTTGTACTGTTTACAAGATATAGTTATTATTAAAGATATAACTTATCATTATCAGTCTTCTGTAGGCAGCACTTATTTGCATCATAAAAATGAGGCTAGTTGCTAAGTTAGATCTTCGTTAAGTTGATCCATTAGTTTAGGTTGTACACTCATTTATCTCAATGTGCAGTTTATACACTCTCTAAATAACCAATTTGTAAACAAATTTGATAGATTATTTTTCGATAAAACAATAAGAATTATTCCATTCGAAAGTAACTACCAAATAATATTATGTCTACAACATATATAACAAGACTTATCATTACACGTGACATCCTGTGACATCCCATTTGTAGCTAGTCTTCTCAATCAAATTATATAACAGGCACTAATTGTAACCAATTGGGAAATCTTTTTAAAAAATATGAAGTCACCGTGTTTCCTTCTAGCTTTATTATAGCTCTAATTTCTTTTAATTCTCGAGTCGTATGGAAGACTTCCACGAAGCAATTACACTCAAAAGTAAAATATATTTACTAGTATATTTTGAATCCTTGCATTGGACATCCAATTTTCAACATTTTGCGCATCTTAAATTTAACAAGATATTCATTATACTGTAGCTTATCATTTTAAATATTCTTCAATATCTCAATATTCTAATTTGATGAAAACAATGCCACCAATTGATAATATTATGCAGACAATCATACCTCCACAATTCTGGTAGGATTTAGCTTAGCCACATAATAATAATCTAATTATATAAAGTTTGATCATATCATTAATTATATTTATCTATCGGATAATTAATTTTATTCTACCTCTAATCAACATATAAAATGACTAGATATGACAATTTCTTATGGAATCTCGTGCTCATTCATATTTAAGATTGTCAATTTACAAAATAAAATAGAAAGTCATTTTTTTTAAAGAAGTTTTCACCCCATTTCAAAATTAAGGATGGCAACGTGGTGGGTATGGGACGAGTCGATCATTCCCCTACCATCCTTAGGTATTTTTGTCATCCCGCTCTATCTCTATACATAGTTAAAACGGGATGCGACGAGCTAGGTTCGGGGCTGGATTGGGCAGGGCCTTTGCCCTATTTATCGCCCCATTTATGTTTATTTTTTATGTATTTTATTTTTTGCTTTTATTTTTTTATATCTTTAATTAGTAAATATTATCACTTTTTTTTCTCATTTTGTTAAAAATAATTTATATTCTCTTTAAAAATGATGATAAATCTATTATTTTTATTTGATAAAAAATTTAATTTAAAATTAACTTTAAACTTGACGGGTAGCGGGATGGGGACTATATTTCCCATGCCCGCCCCATACCCGCTTCGGAGCAATGACACCCGCCTCGTCCCTGTCCAGTTTATTCAATTAGACGGGTAATCCACATCCCATTTGAGGTGGGGCTCATGGGTATAAAGTTGAACGGATTTTTATGCCACCCCTATTCAAAATGTGATCCATCCAAATTTAACTGGACAAAAAAATTATGCACATCAAGCCATAATCAACACAAGGTCCAGATTCACATTGCGGATTGCAAACGGGTATGCCCAAATTCAAAGTCTCATTTGAATTTAATATAATTGCAACAAACACATGGACAACATTTCATGAAAGTGTATATTATCATGTTTAAACTGTCAACCAAAAATCATGAAAAAGTCACTACCATATTTGTTTATAACGTTTCGCCGTAGCAATTAGATGAAAGTCCATGCACTTTCATTTAACTAGTCGTAAGCACGTGCGTTGTACATTTTATATATGAAATGAATGATATGCGTAATATTTTTAAAGTAAGGTAATTAATAATATTAAAGAAAAAATTAAAATTGTTAAAGAACATATATATACACACACACACAGTGGCATTGAAAAGTAAAATGTTTAATAAACTGAAAAGTAATATTTTGTTAACTTATTTGTTTATGCTAAATATTGGTTGGACGCCTATTTTCAACCATTAAAGCGGCATTGACAAGCTTTTTGGTACATATGGACACGAAGAATAAATTGAAAAGTAATATTTTGTTTATAGCAACATCGACCAT